GAGAAAAATCTGACCGACCTAGATCAAGCAATTTCACACACGAAGCAAAAAATCCCCATTGATTAAGAAGACGCGCATCCCCAGCTCTATATTCTTCCAGGGACTTTTAGATGGAACACAAAGTGAGAAAGCAATTCGGAGTTAAAATTCAAATAAGGATATTTTGCCGTTACAAGGACAAGAGGGAAGTCGATATGCAGCGATTTGAATGTGGCTAGAACAACATCTACTGTCAAGAGTCAAAAGAAGGTATCCGTCACTGTCAAGTCAGAGTACTAACTTTCATGGTTGCACCTGTGACAAGAATGAGTAATGAATTATGATTGGTCTTGACCCACCAAATCTTCATTAAGTCGAAATTAAGGCGCAATTTGTAGTTGTTAATGAATGTGAGATACCATGCTACTTGACAGCAACCGCAACCCAATGCCAAGTGTGAGAGTAATGAAATACTACTTACGACTTTTTGATTACAGCTGATCCACCTATGACATGCTCATCTGCAAATTCTGGCTACCCGTTGGTAATTTTGGCTTCTACCTACACTGTGGTTGAGTTGTCAACTGAAAATTTTCCACTTTTTATGAGCTGAACATAAAATTTGTCGCTAACGATGGTACCCATGCCAACCAAACTGGTGATAAAAAATCAGCCAAAGTCCTTAACGTGACTTTGACCAAATCGTTGACTTTCTTGCCACCTTATTAACCTTCTTTGTTAACACTTATGTAAGGATGCAAACAGGCGTTAGTGCGTGTGAGGTGAATCAACGAGTTCTCAGCACAACAGAAGAGGCACAAATGCGGTCCCCACTTGTGACTTTCAGCACAAGGTCTTGTCATTGCGACCATCGCATATTCATTTAATATCCTCAACTACACACTCTCTTCTGCCACATCGTTCTACCTATATGTTCTACTGTTCGTCTGTTCATATTACAAATCTTTCCCTCTCCCTTCTCGTTACTTCGCCTTGGCACTTGGTTACTTATTTTCTACTTCCAGCCCTCCACTGCACCAGAGAACACCACTACGCCTGCGATCTTGTTCTACTTTACATTACTACTTCCGGAAAATGCTCTTATTAC